TTTGGCGCCGAGCGTAAACAGGGTGCTGTGCCGTGCTGCTGCCATAGTGCAAAGAGGCCCTTGGCCATGCCTGGGAGGCAGCGGCAAGAGACTGTAGGCGGTGGGCAGCGGCAGCTCAGGAACCAAACCTCTCTTATAGTCACTCAAAAATTAAAACTCATTGCCATGGAGTCAGAAGCAACTCATAGCTGACCCTCCAATGGGTTTTCAACAACTGTAAATCACACAGGTGCAGACTGTCCATCCTCCCAAAGAGCTGCTGGTAAATTCATGGCCAGAAAGGATGTCACTTTTGGATTAGTAGCATACCTTCCTTCCCATGTGGCCACCAGGACTCCCTATAGTCTTAACTACTAATTAAAATAGATTGTCTCAACTGATTTTTTTTTAAGGCAAGACTTAAGGATATGTTGTCTATAAGAAAATTAAGCAACCCTGCTGACAGTGGCTAAATGCTCAGCTGGCTAATCAAAAAGTTTGAGGGTTTGATGGGATGCAAGATGGCGGCGGAGGCAGAGACAGCATGGTGAGCTGCGGGAGCAGTGAACCACTTAAAGCAGGGCCATTATGGCCTTCCACAGACTTCGGCTTATTGATAATTGAACACTTAACAGTTGATGATTGGCCCTCAGTGAAGATCGAGGCTCAACAACAGGAATTCAAGGATTCCAAAGGAGAAATGGGTGAGTCTTGTGGCTCCCAACCACCCCCTGCACTGCTGCACAGCCGCTGCAGCTCCATGAGGCTTCCACAGCCAGAACAAATGGATTCCCTCACCCAGAATGGATGCTGGGCACAGGCCCTCTTCAAGACTGGTACAGCGAAGCCACCACACTGCCACAAGGTGGACTTGGTCTGGAGAGAATTCTTGGAGCCAGCATGGCGGCTGTGGGGGAAGTGGGAGCCCTCCGGCTGCCCGCACAAGAGGGGCCGCGCACCCTCAAGTGCCCATGCGGCGGGGTGGGGGGACGCGCCCCCAATGGCCGCCCGCGCTGGGGGGGACCGCACGCCTCCCGCAGGCCTGCCGCACTGGGGGGGGGGTGCGCGCCCCACTGGCCACCTGTGTAGGAGGTGGGGGATGGGATGCATGACCGCCATCTGCAGGTTTGGGTAAAGAAGATGATTACCTATGCACTGGACAGGCCAAA